TTGGGTCATACTGACCCTAATCAATCCGACCACTTATTTATGGATCAAGCTTACCGTACTTATTTAATTGTGCTGATCTTCCCGCCATTTCGGAAACCGAACGTGAGCGTTAAGATCAGACAAAGAAAATTCGTGATTTAGTTATTTGCGCTGACCACTCCACCATCTTTGTTAATCGAAGACCGACCGGAAAATTATTAATATTTCGATTAATTTGTACCCTTGCTATTTCATAATTATTCAGACTTGTACTGACCCTAATCACTCCGACTTCTTGCTTATAAATTAATAAATACGTCAATAAAGTGATTAATTGTTTACCTACAATTTACTTCCGTTACCCTGCCTTAATTGCATGCTGGTGATTTTCAGCCGCGGGCGGTTATAATCGGGTAACGCTGAATCGCTATATTTTCGGGTCCCACGATAGGTAACATACGCGCGAATTCGAACGGACTTACGACCTGAATTAAGGAGCCATCATCTGAGCTGCCAGCTTACCATAATTGAGGAGGAAAAATTGGAATCGAGTAGTTGGACACCGAGGCCTGAACTGAGGAGATCGCGAGTACTCACCCGCTTGCCTACCCTGCGCAGTCGCCGCGAAGGCAAACCGGGATACACGCGACGAACCCCATTTTGGTCCTACCCCCGATGATCGCCCTAATTAGCCGACGGTCTGGCGCCATAAATAATCGGGAGTAATGAGTCAAACAGGCCTTGTGGCAGAAGAAACTCGTAGCGCGGTTAAAACCCCCGAAATTCCCCGCCACAATATTTTAAAAACAATAATAGGGAAGGAAATAAGGGAAACAGGAGGAAAACTGTTCAAATTTTTGGCAGACATGAAGGCCGCTTTTGATAAAATAAAGAGGAAGAAAATATGGGAAACAATGAAAGAGAAAGGGATAAATAGAAAAATTAGGAAAAGAATAGAAGAAATATACAAGAAAACAGGGAGTAAGGTAAAAGTTGGAGGAGAAATAATTGGGGAGTTTGAGACTTACAAAGGCGTGGCAAGGGTGCCCTTTGAGTACCACGCTATTTAATCTTGCCTTCGCCGACCTGGAAGTGAAGATCAAGCAGGTGCAGGAAGGAGGAGTAGTGATAGGAAGGAAGAAAATATGGACATTAGGATATGCAGATAATATAGTGATGATGAAAGAGTGAAAGTGGAATGAAAGAAATGCTGAAAAAATTAAAAAGATACCTGGAAGAAAGGGGATTAGAGTTAAATGTAGGAAAATCAAAGATGATGAAATGCAGGAGAGGAGGAGGAAGGGGGAAGGAAGAAGAATTCGAATGGGAAGGTGAGAAGATAGAGATGGTTAAAGAGTACAACTACTTGGGATATGTGATAAGCACATCTAACGGAAATAAAAAGTAGATAAAGAAGGTAGAAGGGAAAATAAATATGGGACTCGGAAGACTATGGGGGCTAGGAGAAAAGCTATTTAGAGAAAATTGGGAGCTGAGGATGAACCTGTTCGATGCTCTGGCGAAAAGCGTGATTATGTATGGAGCAGAAATCTGGGGATGGAAGAGATATGAGGAAATAGAGAGACTACAACTAAAATACATAAAGTGGGTATTAGGATTAGATAGAAACCCGCCAAGTTACCTAATACAATGGGAAACAGGAAGACAAGAAATGAAAGAAATAGCATTAGAAAGAGCAATGAAGTATGAAAACAAAATAAGAGAAGAAAGAGAAAAGGGAAAGAAATGAAAAAGATAAAAAGGGTAAGAAGGAGGAGAGAGAGGAAAGGCTGGAAAAAAGTAAAATATACAGAGAGAGGGAAGAGTGAGATGAAATGAGGGAAGAATTTTGGGAAGAAATAAGAGATGAGCTAAAGAAAAAAGATGAAAATGAACTATAAGAAAAACTAGAAAAATCAAGATACATAAACGAGTGGAAAGAGCTGAAAGAAGAAATGAAAAGGTATAGGTTAAAGGAAATTCAAGGAGAGGGAAGAATAAAAGGCCTGCAAATAAGAGAAAGGTTTAGGTTAGGTAATGAAACGAGAGGAAGCAGGTATTGGGAAAAAGAAGAAAATAAGAGATGTAGAATCTGTATGAAAGAGGAAGAAAATTGGAAGCATATAGTAGAAAAATGTGAAAAAAGTAGAAAGGAAGGGGAAGAATGGGAAAAAATAATAATAGGAAGCAAAGAAAAGATAGCGTGGATGATGGAGATAAAATGGAAAAGAAGAAAAAACGAAGAGAAGAAAGAAAAAGAAAAGCAAGAAGACGAAGCTGCATGTTATGTCTCAAGACGTATCTTTATTCATTTACACTCTCTAAAAAGTGCAACTCCGAATTTCTTAAAATCAAAACTATGTACACGTCCACCGGAAAACTATACGGCAGCAAAACACAAAGACCATACTCAGCATTACACAACGCACATTGAACTCGAAAGGAAAATTACCCAACTACACAGAAACATCAGCAATTAATTAAGCACAAATTCATGTATATAAGACGAACCACCCGTAAAGAGTCGGGCAGTCATTATTGTTACTCCGTACACGTCAGTTCGACAATTGACGAATAAACTTTACGTATCGACGCTACAGTCGCGTGCAAGCCTGTTCGACAATTCGGCTAACTATTCAATCACTACTTGTCAAACTATACTATTTGACCCTAATAACTACGCGATCCATTAAAAGTGAGAACGTGCAACTTCATTATTCAACCTCTCCAAATACCGAGATCTACAATACCGAAAGTACTCCAGAGGCAGTAAGTACAACAAAATAATAAAACATATTCATTTCTATCCATATATCGTATATTACTCATTACCTGTGAACCCCAACCAGCCACTAATATTATATTGGTACGTTTCGCACATTCGCTGTTCGTAGTCTATGCACGAGACGTAACAATTGGTTCCGGTACGAAATTAGAAAAATCATTTTATTTTATCAATTCAAAGTGCAAAATCGGAATAAATTACTTTATATTACCAATTCAAACTTTTCAATACAATCTTCAAGGTATCGATTAACAACAAATTAATAATTTCCAATCTCGAAAGGAATTTTTTTTTACAACAAATTACATTTCAATCGATTTCTTTTGAACTGAAAATACATAATATCAAATTCGTAAATTGTGTCATTTCATAAGCGAGAACCGTGCTTTGGCGTAGTAACTCGATCATCGCGCGCCGCGAGTAAATGATCTGGTAGAATCTACAACTCAGCAAAAATTTTGGAACTTGAGTCGAAATAAGAAAAGAGTAGAGAAGAAGTAGGTCAAAACACCAATTCCTTACTTACTCATATACGAATTTGTTACTTATATAATTATACTTATATGAATGCTACAATATTATTAATCGAACAATATACGAATCATTTTACGCGACTCCCTCCCAATAACCGAACAAATTTTAATTATCGATTTTTAGTTCTCTTCTTAAGTTCAAATTATTTCCTTCTGAACCTTCTTATAATTTTCAATACAATTTAAATTCAACACATTTACTTTTCCTTTTCTTTTTTTTTTTTTTTTTTGAATAAAATGCCCATATGAGTAAAAAAATTATCCCAACTAGCAGAGTAATTTCAAACGACTCGAAGCTTACGCGATCCCAAACGCGTAGCAATCCCCAATTGAAAAGCCTCCTACATAAAGAGTTAAAAAAAAGCGCATTCAAAAGAAACAGCAAGATACAATACTCACCTACAAAAGAAGTCAAGAAAACACAAGCAGAAATTACAAGAACCGAAGATTCACCAGCAACTCAAACAGAAGAACAAAATTCAATTATACAAGAAAACAACTCTTCAACAGTAAATACCACAATAGACCCCGATAAAAATCAACGATACTCAGACTTTGGAGGAATTTACAACGAACAAAACCTGATCTTAGGAACTTCAAAAGATACATTTTTAAATCTCGAACTACAAAATCAAGAAGAAGAAAAAACACTTGCCGAAGAAGATAAACAAGAACTCACAATTCCGAAAAATTTTGAAAATAATTTACAGAAGGAAGACTCACGGAAAAGTGATTTTCTAGCAGTAGTAAACATAGACACACTCATCGAAGACCCGTCTACCACAAAGCAAGAAACAAAAATCATTAGAGAAAATCCTACGCCATCAATTAACAAAATGCCTACAAATATGGATAACCAGGAAAAACCAATGAAATTACAATTGAAAGATGTAGCAGTCTTCGTCGCGGAGTTCGATGGCAAAAACATACCACCTATGGAATACATCTCCATGTTAAAAGAAGTAAAGGATATTATAGACGACATCGATGAGAGAAATCTTACAAAACTATTAAAAATAAAAATTAAAGGTGAAGTAAAAGAAGCCATAAGAGGAAGCAAAGTGGAAAATATAACAGACCTAATCAATGCAATCAGAACCCTATACCCCATCAAAGAAGACATACACGCACTATATGCAAAAGTTCATCAGATATCACAAGAGGAAGACGAATCAGTTGTACACTATACTAAAAGAATACGACAACTAGTATTAAGAATAAAGGAACTAAATAAATGGGAGGACATCACAGCAATAGAACGAACACAATTCGAAGCTACACTAGACAAAGAAGCAGCTAAAAGCTATAGGAAAGGACTAAAAGCAGAAATCAGATGCGAAATAGGCCCAGGAACTACAGTACAAGAAATGTCGACAAGGGCAATAGACATTGATAGCGATATAGAAAAAAGGAAATACAAAACAAAACCAAGTAGAAATTATACATATTCAAACGATAAAGAAGAGTTTCAAGAAGCAAAAATCCTCACATGTCAAATATGCAGAGAATATTCACATGAAGCTCTATTTTGTCGCACAGCAGCCTGCGTATACTGTAACGGAACAGACCATTTCTCGAATAGCTGCAGGAAAGTGCCAAAGAAAATTAATTTAATATGCAAATTCTGTAGCCAACCGAGTCATTCAATAAGTGCTTGTCGCTTAAACAAAAGATAAAATATCCACTGCTAATATTGCCAAGAAATGGGACATGAAGTAGATCAATGCCCACACATCATCGACTACGAAGCATGCCGGAAATGCAACGAAACAGGACACAACCCAATAAATTGTAAGAATGATCAAATTTTAAAACAAAACAAATGCGAAAATTGTGACAAGATTGGACATACAATGCAGCAGTGCCCAGAAGTAATATGCAGAAAGTGCAATAATATGGGCCACCTCGTAAAATATTGTAAAGCAGGAGAAATAAAAAAGTCTCTATACAAAATATGTGCTATCTGTGATGAAGTAGGCCACGAACAAGACACCTGCGACCAAGTAAAAATCATGTTCACAGAATTCAAAGCTAAACAGAAATTTAAGTTCCAGTATTGCGAAGACACAGGCCACACAGCTAAGTATTGCCCACTTCTAAAAACGCAACCGCAGCAAGTTCAACAAACTCCACAACTGTCATATAACTCAAATCATAATAGATTCCAAAGGAAAGGCTGTGCCTACTGCAAAAGTCCAGGACATAATATAAACGACTGTAGAAAACTAAGCGCATTAATGAACAACACACCAACAAATCAACAAAAGATATGCGAATCCTGCAAGAAACACGGCCACGTAATCGATGAATGCAGCATAATCTTGTCACGACAAAAACAAGCCGGCGAATTCTGCGGAAAACGTAAAATAGCCGGTCACACAACACAGAATTGCTTCAGAAATAAAGGAAGAGCGGGAAACTTCGAGGCCCTTTCTGGAGGGAACGCCTCCTAGAAAGGGAACACAATGAAAAAGCGCTCCCACAACAAAAAGATACAAAAATACAACAAGTCAAAAACACAGCCAACATAGAAGCAAAAACATACGTATTGAAAATGGAAAATTTACTGCAATATATTGAAGTCGATGATCCATATTCAAACAAAAAACTCAAATTGTTGATCGATAGCGGAACTCAACTAAACATCATACAAAATAATAGTATTTCAAAACGAGACATAAATAGCAATGAACGGATACTGATCTCCGGAATAACCGACAAGTCTATCAAAACCCTAGGATCTACAAAGATACCAATACAAAATCCATTCTTTGATTTCCATGTAGCCCCGGACACTTTCTCTATCCCATACGATGGAATTCTAGGAATAAACATTTTCTTAGACTACAAGGTGAGACTAGACGAAGGATACCTAGAAATCAATGGAGAAAAAATACTCGTAAAATCTACAAAAGATAAACATACAACTCCCACAATTACTACACTACAAGAAAAATCGATTGTTATCTCAAATCAAGAAGCCAACACTATAGAATAAATTACAGGAAAATACGACATTACATCAAAAAATGAGGACATATCATTATATCAAGATCTAGAAAAAGTATTAACGACAGTAAACGAAATAAACACGCAAGAAAAAGAAAAAGCAGAGCAAGCACAAGAAGAATGCGACGAACAAACGTATCAAGCAAATTTAGCAAAATTCATGGAAAATATAAACGAAGCTCTCGAAAAAAAAAAAGAGCAAACAGAAGAAGAATACATCATGGACAACTATTATACCTTTTGTTTGACATTAGAACAAAAAATAAAAATAGAGGACAATACAAAACAAAATATACAAATACAAGAAGCAGAATTATCAGGTAACGAAACTATAGATACACAAAAAGAAATACAAAGGAAAATCATACATGAAAAAGCCCCGGAAACTCAAGACACGAAAGAAAGACGAAACCGACTGACCGAGACAGTAAAGCTAGACCACTTAACCCACAAAAAAAAACAAGCGATAGAGAACTTGATTATATCATTCGAAGACATATGCTGGCTAGAAGGAGACGAACTCGGCATGTGCAATATCGAAGAACACGAGATCAACTTAACAGACGAAAAACCAGTATATATCAAACAATTTCCTTTGCCCTACACACTAAAACGAGTGGCATTGGACGAAACAAAAAAACTAATCGCAAACAAATTAGTTAGACCTTCAACAAGTGCATTAATGCACCAGTATGGGTCGTTCCAAAAAAAGGACTCACCAAAGAGGGAAAAAAAAATGGAGATTAGTCATAGATTACAGAAAATTAAACGCTAAAACAATACTAGACCCTTACCTGATACCTAACATATTGGAAATCTTTGATTGTATAGGAAAAAACAAATATTTTACAACTATCGACATGGTTTCTGGATTCCATCAAATAAAAATGAAAGAATCAGACATTCGCAAAACCGCCTTCAGCATACCTGGCTTAGGACGCTTTGAATTCAAAGTGCTATTGGATTAATCAACTCGCCAAGAATTTTCCAAAGAGCACTAACAACAGCACTCGGAGATTTAAGAGAAAAAGGCTTCTGCTATGTATACATCGATGACGTAATCATTGTAGCAAATACAGTAGAAGAACACAACGCAAGATTCAAGCTCATAGCACAAAAGCTAAGGGAAGCAGGACTCAAATTAGAAACCAGCAAATGTAAATTTTTTCAAAAAGAAGTAGAATTTCTAGGACATATCATAAGCGAAGAAGGCGTAAAAACTGATCCAAAGAAAATCGAAGGAATACAGAAATTCCCTATCCCTAAAACAGTTAAAAATATTAGAGAATTCTTGGGACTTACTAGCTATTACATATGCTTTATAGACAACTTTTCAGATATAGCCAAACCATTAATACAGCTATTACAAAAAGACATAGAATTTGTCTGGAATACAGAGAGACACAAATCATTCGAAAACTTAAAGAAAGCTCTATACTCTGCACCAATACTGTAATATCCAGACATGACAAAACCCTTCATAATAACAACAGACGCATCAAATTTCGCATTAGGGTGCGTACTCTCACAAGGCAAAATAGGCGAGGACAAACCAATTGCATTTGCATCAAGAGTGCTAAAACCAGCAGAAAAAATGTACCACACATACGAACGCGAAGCATTAGGAATTGTATTCGCTGTGAAAACATTCAGAAATTACATATACGGAAATAAATTCACAATAGTAAGTGACCACAAACCACTACTATCTCTCAAATCTGCCGACAATAACTCCAGAGTACAAAAATGGAGACTCAACCTACTGGATTACGACTATGATATTATCTACAAACCCGGGAAGATAAATACAAACGCAGACGCACTATCAAGAAACCCTGTAGAAAATACCATGGTAACAGTCGTAATCAGAGCGCAAAAAGCTAAAGAAACAGGAAAAATACAAACAACAGACATACAAAATAACAATACAAAAATAAAAAGAACAATTAAGAAGAAAAGAAAACAAAAAACAAGCCCAAGGGATAAGAAAAAAATAACAAACCTCCAAGATTACCCACCAGAAATCACGACAAGCAAAGCAGATCTATAAAAGCAGAAACATGTAGTCTTCACAAAAAAATCCATAAAGTCACGGAATGACAACGTTGCAATATTTGTAAACCAATCACGACAAATATTAAACAAAAAAATGGAACAATTTATAAAGTCAAAGAAAATCAATATCAATAAAGACCTCCGCACAAATGAAATCGAAATTATAAAAATAAATTCAAGAAAATTATTTATTCTATGCATAGACTCAGGCCAATCAGCAATAACAATAAAACAAATTATCACTCACATCCTAATTATCCGCACAACAAAAAGAAAATAGATTCAGCATTTCAAAAGACCTACAGATAAACAATATTCATTGGCAAGAAATAGAAGAAATAATCACAAAAACCTTTCAGAACTCAGGTATTAACATAGTTATTTCCTTAAACTATATCGAATATATCGAAATCAAAGACCGAGATAGAATATTCAATCTGAACCACTCATCCGCCTTAGGAGGACACTCAGGAGTAAATAGAACATTAAATCGCATCAAACACAAGTATTATTGGGAAAATTTAAAAACAGACATAGAACAAAGAATAAAAAATTGTGAAGACTGCCAGAGAAATAAATTAAAAAGAGTAAAGACAACACAACCAATGGTTATAACGAAAATACCGTTTAAAACTTTTGACAAAATTGCTATGGATATAGTAGGTCCACTAAATATTACCAAAAATCAAAATAAATACATCCTTTCCATTCAAGATTTATTATCAAAATTTCGAATAGTGATACCTCTACCCGATCAAACTGCCGAATCAATCGCAGACGCATTTATAAAAAAATTTATATGCGTTTTCAGTTCACCAAAAATCGTGCTCACAGATAGAGGGGCAAACTTTACAAGCAAACTCTTGAAATGCATAGCGCGCAGATTTAAATTCACGAAAATAGAAACAACAGCCTTTTCGCCACAATCAAACGGTTCATTAGAAAGAGCCCATCACCCATTGTGCGAATACTTAAAAAATTTTTCAACTAAAAAAATTGAATGGGATGAATTACTAGAACTAGCACAATTCCATTATAACACAAGCGTACACAGCACCCACAGATTCACACCACATGAACTAGTTTTCGCTTATCCACCACGATTACCTTCAAGCGAAGCTTTGAAAAGCTTCAGAACAATTACCCTCTTTCAATAATTACCTGTCACATTTAATCACAAATATGAAAGATATTGCAAATTTTGCAAGAGAAAACCTAATAACCACTAAAGAAAGATCAAAAAAGTATTACGATCGCTTCATAAACCCAACAGATTTCAAAATTAGAGATCAAGTCTGGCTCATAAAAGGACCTAAACCAGGCAAACTCGAAAAGAACCGAAACCTGGGACCATTTGAAATCTTAAAGGTTACAGACAAAAATAATGTCATCATAAATAAAGGTGGAAAAGCAAATACAGTCCATGCAAATAAATTAATTATGCATAAAAAGAAAATCTAACAATAATTTATGTTTTAGGACCATTCCAAAATGTATCAACAATTCTTAATACTAATTACAATTATCAAAACAGCATCAGCCATCATCGGATACGACTGCGGGACAACAACGCCAAACATCACGACGTACTCCCTAGTAGACACGGGAGAATGCGACTTTCACAACATTCCTGTAAATAAATCGAATGTATATATAGAATGAATACAAACCGCGGAATTCCGCGAAATTTCCGTATTACAATGTAAAATAGAAATACATAGAACTGTCTCCACATGCGGAATATTCGGGCACTTAATACCCACACCAACTGGAGAACAGGAATACATTTACGAAATAAGTCATGAACAATGTAAATTTACCCATGAAACGGGAACTTTCGTATATGACAATATTTATAAAATTGTTGATCTAAAAATAAACGCAACCACTTCAAAAAGTATCGATTTCGCGGGTATCGCAGAAGGAAACTCCTGCTACGGAGCAGCCTATGCTGATAGCTTCGGATCATGGAATAAGGTATTTGTTCATGGCTTAATCAAAATAACACTAATACAAAGTATAGCTAAAGTAAACCTAGATAACGATAAATTAAGACTAAACACAGGGACCGTATGCAAGTTCTCTGACAAAACATGTATAGACATGGAAGCGGGCTATACCTTCTGGGATATTTTACCAGAAGGAGAATGCTTCAAAAACGAATTCGATGTGCTATTTAAAGGCATGGCAACGAAATATTCTAGTGACTACGATCACGAAATAATTTACGCATTAATTTCTAGCGAAATAACATTTGCTCTAAGCGCTAGAAACAAAATACAACGCTGCAACAGAGAACTTGTAAGAACGGAACACCTGAAACTATTTATTGTAGAAAAAGACAATTATATAAACGCATATCAACTAGGAAACGACTTAGTAGGCACAA